ATTTTTAATATAACGCCGACTGGATTCATCTGAAAGAAGAAAGTCATATACACCTAGGATGCCTCGGGGGTGAGTAAAACACAGCCTAATTTTCATTTTTGAGTGAACTAACCCTTTAAGTGCGACATTTTAAAGTAGAACAAATTAAATGGTATTTTCTGGTATATTTGTTTTATTTACAGTGCAATCTTGCTGTATGAAGACTAATGAGGATGATTATTATTATTTACAATTATTATAATGTAAATTATAGATATTATCGCTATTATTTTGTACAATTTTGTTAATAATAATAATTATTATTATAATAATAATAATTATTATTATTATTTATGATGATGATTATTATTATTGACAATAACTCTAATTATAATTGTTTATTATTTACTATTATTTACAAATTATTACATTACATTTATTATTATTTACAATTATCATAATGTTAATTATAAATATTATTATTATTATTATTATTATTATTTTCTATTATTATTTTCTATTATTATAATGATTATTGTTATTTACAATAACAACAACAATATTATTATTATTATTATTATTTATGATGATGATGATTATTATTATTTACAATTACTTTAACTATAATTGTTTAATATTTACTATTATTTACAATTACAATAATTTTTATAATTATAGGTATTATTATTTACAATTATTATAATGTTAATTATAAATATTATTATTATCATTTAGTATTATAATTTTAATTGTTATGATGATTATTGTTATTTACAATAACATTATTATTATTATTATTATTATTATTATTATTATTATTATTATTATATGCTTTTTCTAGTCTCACATATGGCTGAGGCCCCTCCTTTAACTTTTATTATTATTATTATTTACAATTATTTTTATTTTCACAATTACAGTAAAATTAGTACATTTTACAAGAAATACAATTTCAGCTTTTCTACATTAAAATTTCACATTTAATTCAGTGTTTCTTTGCTATTGTGAAATGTACTAGCAGTTCCTAATTGAAAATGCCATTTAAGTAATAAAGCTAATAAGAAATTATAAAAACGTACACTGTAAAAAGTTATAAATAAAACATTGACCTATATATCAATATATTTTGTCTAATTATCGACAATTTCAGAAAATCTAGACAGAGAATTTTTGTCATTATTTCACATCCCTACTACAGGTAGCAAATATTGGGTTCCCACCTTTTTTGTTCTAGTTAACAAAAACTAGGGATGTCCCAATCAGTTTTTTTGTCACCCGATCCGAGTAATTAATCTGCTGATACTGAGTCCAGATCTGATACTTGTATATTCCTATAGAAATGTTTGTTTGGTGCACATACAAATACATTAAAGTTATTAAAAACTATCCAATGCATACAGAGTTGTGCAGAGAGTAAAAGTTCTGTATGTATATATAATATAAAACGGTATATAATTATAAGACACTCTTTCTCTCTATGCACACACTATATAAAGACATTGGTAGATGTAAACATGTTACAATGGTAGACGTTGTAAACAGACTGTGTCATCACAATTATGAATATGGGACTGTTGATATAAAATTCTTGTATTTATTATGTCCAATAAGCAGAATAATTACAACATAAGGTTAGAAAGCATGAAGCTTGCTGTGTCAAAATGCCAGTCTATCAGTCAAATCCGAAGCCGCCTATAGCAGCGCGTTATAACAACGATCGTCACAAAAGTGTGCATCAAATACACTGAACACGGAAGCTCAAGCGTCACCTACTGCACATCACTGGTATTACAGTTGACGTAAATTAAGGATCGGGATGAGGAGAGCCGATACGATCAGTTAAATTGCTTGATCGGCCCGTTCCTTGAGATCGGCTTGGGACATCCCTAACATAAACGTTTAATTCTTTTAAGACGAGCCTGCCGTGAGCTCTGAGATTAAGCAATAAATTATGTTTCTGTAGAATCCACCGAACATAAATAAAAATTGTTTAAAAAAGTGTTTAAATTCCTAATTTCCTAACTTCACTACCCATAACCCTGAAGACAGGTCTGAGAGTTGCTATAATCCTAGAATACAGCAGAATTCAGTCTCACTGCACTCTCAAGCTATTTATTTATATTAATTAATGTATGTGTATTTTACATTTAAATATGTTGGGTGTTGTACTAAAATGTTTCATGTTAATGTCTGATTTCATCAGTGAATTGAAGTGCGCTCTCTTTTTTCTCTTTCATCTATGTCTGTTGCTGTTCATAATTAATCTCAGAGCTGGTTGGTTTGGTTCAAGATGTAAAACTGTAAAATCTCTTTGAGCCTCTAACTGTAGCACTGTCTATTCTAATTATTTTATCTATTTGTTTTCTTTTTTTATAAAAAAAAAAAAACCCGTGACCCTTTAAGACTTTTTGTTTTCTAACTGCTTGTTTTCTATAAAAAAGACCTCTAACACTAGCTTTCTCTATTCTTTTTTTTTTTTATTCTGTCTATCGGTTTTCTTTTTATCTATTATATAATAATAAAAAAAAAACCTTGCTACGTGTACTGCGTTAGGCTAACCGAGACTTGTCATGGCACTTGCATATGGTTGCTCTTTTGTTGATTCTGATTGCTTCCATTGTCCTCATTTGTAAGTCGCTGTGGATAAAAGCATCTGCTGAATGTCTAAATGTGATGTAAATCTGGTGATAATGGACGGTTGGTCTTGCTCATGCTCTGTTGAAGATGTTGCTCACTGGGCAGTGTTTTGCAGTCATGTCCGCTTGTTTGAGTCACGCTCGTGTTTCCTCCTCTCAGGAATACTCCACAGCTGTGGACATGTGGTCGGTCGGCTGTATATTTGGAGAACTCCTCACACAGAAACCTTTATTCCCTGGCAAATCTGAGATTGATCAAATCAACAAAGTTTTTAAGGTATGCTTCATCACATCCTGAATGTCTGAAGACATTTTTTTTTATTCATTCTGATAAGCAATATTAGCAGCTCATCAGGAGGAATCACTTAACATAAGTGCACATAAATGCATTGCTCATTTACAGATCTTTCCATAGATTTTGGAGCAGAAATATCCATGTATCTATTCCATTATAGCTGCAAACACGAAATGCTGTCCATCTTGTATAGTATGCCATATATCGAATTAGTGCAGCCCAAACCTACTGTTTAATGGGTGGCCAGATGGTGCAGTATATACAGTTATTGAATGCTTGAACCTAAGAGTGAATTCATTTTAAAGTGATGAGTTTAGCTGTATGCAGATGGATAATCGATAATGTCTTGTCAGTGTCAGTGAGGACTGTGGTATCGATCGACACAGTTTTTTGACCTGATAAAGCCCAGTGCTGGCATGAACCAATCAAAACTACTCCTGTGAGAAACTTGTTTTATTCTGGTGATACTTTTGAAAGGGTTTTTAATCAAGTAAATCCAAAGTTTTTTTTTTTTTTTGAGAAAATGACTCCTAAACATCTTAGTTTTAATATGAATAACTAAACCTGGCTCTCACCAGGAACATAGCCATAGAAGCTGGTGGTGTTAAAAAGAGAAAAAAAAATTCACTGCCGAAATTATGCAAAATGATATCCAGCCTAATAGTGTTCGTTTACACTAGCAAAAAAACGTGCTAGTTTTTTTTTTTTTTACTCTCATGCAACAGATCAGATATCGTTGCATATGTGTAAACACAATAATTTGCACAAGATCCATTGTTTTAGGATCCGTCCTGAGCCGTTTCCAAATGTGGTTTTACATCCGATCTGGACACATGTATACATTTCCCGCTGGAATTCCAGGACATCACAATCCCAGGGCGACACGTTTTGCCCACAAAGATAACTTCTTTTTTTTTTTTAAATGCCAAATTATGAACCCGATGTTGCTTGTATGCACTCGTACAAAAACTCTGCTTCTTAATTTAGGTGGAAACTTTATATAGATGAGCGATTGCGCACACAGAAACATTCAGGAGCACAGAAACTTGTTTTGAGCCACTGTCTCTTGATTTTTATAAATGAAATATCTTTGCTACTAAAAGCTACATTATATTTTTCAGCAAGGTGATCATGTCGCTGTTTTTTAATTAAACTCGAAGTTTCACTATAGAGAGGCTGCACAGACAGGTAATGCACATTCATCTCTTGCTCCGATTCATTCAAATAAATGTCATCTTACTACATTCATTTATTTCACTTCAGAATTCTAGATCTAATAACCTGTAGATCCAATAACTTACCTGATTTTGTGCTCCACACTTTAATGACAGCTTTAACTTGTCCATGCTGGTGAGTGATGACTGTATAAGTGGGATAATCACAGCTGGTGTGCGTCAAAGAATCATCGAACGGGAATTATGCAGAATTTATTGGTGATCTCTTTGTAAAATCACAAAGCAATTACCAATAAAGTCATTGTAGTTTGGGTGGGGATTCATGTAAAGAACAGTTGGTCAAGTGAATTCACTGTTGACTCTGAAAGGGCCAAAACACATTAGGTGGACTTCCAATTTACAGTACTGCTTATGAAGCCTTGGGAGCTGAAACACAATAATGGGAAGAGGTGTTAAATTTCCAACACACGCTGTGAGCGTTTGATCCGTAACAACAGACTGGGCCCGCTGACCAATCGGAGCAGAGTTTTTCAGAAAAGCAGGGTGAAAAGAGGCACTGCAGCAATGTACACCGAGACAAATCATGTAAATGTGTTCTTGCAGACCATAAATAGAATAATGAACTTGTAAAGTAGTATAATATGGTCCTTTTAAACATTGAATGGTACATGACATGGCCTTAAACCTTGTTTTTGATTTTTCACATGTTCACAGTCTCTCTTCCTGTGTGTGTGTGTGTGTGTGTGTGTGTGTGTGTGTGTGTGGAATGTCCCCATAAAACATGGCTTTTAAACAGTTAATGTACTGTGGGAGCTGACATGTGTGTGTGTGTGTGTGTAGGACTTGGGCTCTCCCAGTGAGAAGATCTGGCCGGGATACAGCGAGATGCCTGCGGTGAAGAAGATGACTTTCACAGAATATCCCTACAATAACCTGCGCAAGCGCTTCGGAGCACTGCTGTCCGACCAGGGCTTTGACCTCATGAACAAGTAAGAGCGCACACAGTGATTTTAATTCAGTTTTATATTTACCAGAAATATTTCTGTTTTTAATTACATATAAAGTTTTCTTAACCAGTTCAATTTGCAAGAAGCCGGTAATCAAACCTTTATAATGTAATGCACTTTTGCTTGAATACGGTTTTATATGATGCAAAACATTTCCTGATAGGTTAGTGTCACAGTGTAAGACTGTCACAGGTCATTGTGAGCAGCTCATCTCTGTCATCCAGCGAGCTAATATTACACTGGTGATAAATGCGCTGAATTGTAGAATATTTCACAGAAAATCAAACCTTTGCGAGGTGTGAAAGCATGAGTGGCAGTTGAGCATCAAGTGGCCGTCCTGTTATCTGGCCTGAAACTCATTATGCACAGACAAAAAGTGCCTGTGTTTTGGTTGCCGTTGTTTTTCTGAAGTACTGCATCAGTGCAGACACAGCTGCTTCACATTATGAAACACTGGAGTTAAAAACAAAAGGCTCAGAACAGTGATATGTTATAAATGTGATTGGAAGTGTTTGAAGGTGTTGTGAAGTACCAGTAAATGCGTCCCTGTGACCACATGTGTCTTTTATGAGGGTTAGGCACCAAATAGGATCACGTGACTTTTATGTAATGGTATTATGTAAAATATAAATAAAATATTGTTTAATAATTTTTTTAACTGCAGTTGGTTGGACAGACACATTTAACATTTGTTCTGGAAACCTGAAGCATTTCTGGATCTTTACAAACCTTGTCATTGAGCCTGTGGAACATCAGCAGCAATGTGATCGAGCGTGAATCATTCATTTGGAAATAAACCGCCATCGATCTGAACGTCGCTATGAGATGTTTGTTCATTTTCAGATGTCTCTGACTTTCAGTTTCTTTCTCAAGTTGAAATCTCTGAAGGGGTTCTTGTTTCCAGAGTTTAAGAGGCCCTGATGTAAGGGATGCTAATGCACACAGACGGCCCTGAAAGGTCACGTCCCATCACAGCCTGACTGCAAATACCACATTCATATGAGAGAGCAGCGGAGGGAATGGGACACCGAGAGGAGTAGAAAGACTTTTAAGATCTGGAGAAATGCAGCATTGCATCAGTGTCTCAGCAATGCATGCTCTGCAGTGAATGGGTGCCGTCAGAATGAGAGTCCAAACAGCTGATAAAAACATCACAATAATCCACAGCACTCCAGTCCATCAGTGAACATCTGGAGAAGACAAAAGCTGAAACAAATCCAGCATTAAGACGCTTTTAACTAAAATACCAGTCCATAATCCATAATAACGCTTGCTCCAGTGAAAAAGTGTTCTGGTCTGAATCAGGAGAGAAACCTGCACAGATCAAGCAGCGTTTACAAGGGGACATCGCTGTAACGGAGATAATGAAAATATCCGAAGACTGATATAAAATTAATTTTAAAAGTATGACATGAAAGCATGAACACATGATTAGAACACTTAGATTATGATTATGCCCGTTCTATGACACATCCTATGATATTGATGAGGGCCCGTATTCACAAAACATTTTATCTTACCACTAAGAGTTCTCCTAAATAGCAGTAAAAGTTTTTAGCTAGGAGTTTTCTCTTAAACCCTATTCACAAAGCTGCTGAGACAAACTTGTACTAAGCAATAGAGAGAAGTCTTAAGCTCAGATTAAGGGGGCGGGGTTTACCTCGTTGCTATGGATGAGGTCAGCATGATTATTAACGATGCACACAGTGATTGGCTGATAGTCTCTGTCAGAGATTTATTCATAGAAATATTGTAGAGCGCAATATTATGTTGCCATATTCAAATAAAGGTTAAAAAATTAAAAAGTTAATTGCCACATCCAAATAATTCAAAACGTTAAAACATTCAAATTTTAAAATGCATGCTAAAGGTCATTGCACGCTGAGTCCGAAATTTTCACACGTTAAAAAATAAATGACCTCATGTTGTGTCAATCACGTTTACACACTGCCTCCGAAACTTTCATCCGTCATAAAAAAATGTAAAAAGATTTTCTACTTTTTGCCTGAAGACGTTTTGTGAATATGGGCCCAGATAACATAACATAGACGTAACATTACAACTTGTATCTGCACAAAAGGATGCAAATGCCAGTGAACTTTGTTATGCGCTATAGCGAGAGAGAGAGAGAGCTCCCTCTATGATGCACTTTCATTACAGCGCGCTGAAACACGGGCAATGAAAGCAGACAGAATTTATTATAGATTTCACATTCCGTAAAGTTCTCATTATAATGCTATGTTTATGGCAGATTTGTGCTATATTTTCATATACATTATCTAGTGATTCCTGAAATTGCCTGCGCGTTTTCGAAGCCATACAAAGTACAAAAACAATTGTAATTGAAGTATGCCTACTGTTGAACAAATATGATGGGAAAAAAGCACTGCTGCATTATTATAACATCAGTCTTTAAAAAAAAAAAAGAAACATCTAATGCAATATGACCATCTCAAATAACTCCGTCAATGATCGGGCAGTGCATTTTAGCATGAAACTAAACACTGGTAATATGCAGCGCATTCAGCATGTTAATAATAAATGTTAATATCTCAACGCATCCTATGTTAGATTAATCAGATATGCATGTTGCTAACCCAGACATCACTGTGTGACTTTGAAGTCATGCTTCTCTCTTTTCTCATGTCTATGCTTTGGACCGCATGCTGTGGCCAGCTAAACAATCAGCGCTCAGGGTGCCGCCCAAAGTGCTGCTATAAACAATCAGGAAAAAAAGATCAATCGTCGCTGTCACAGCCGAGTACTCGCTCACTGTTGCACATCCCTAGACCCTTTAACCTCACACCTTCGATTACAGTTCCTGCAGTGACACGAGACATTGACTGACAGCAGCGGTTTTCACATCAGTTTTTCTTACATGTCTGCTTTCTGTCTCAGGTTTCTGACGTACTGCCCTGCCAAGCGGATCAGTGCCGATGAGGCACTTAAACACGAGTATTTCCGGGAGTCGCCGCTCCCCATCGAGCCCTCCATGTTCCCCACATGGCCGGCCAAGAGCGAACAGCAACGGGTGAAGAGAGGAACGAGCCCGCGACCGCCGGAGGGAGGACAGGACTTCAGCCAGCTGGTACAGAAACTCTTTCAACGTGAAATCAAAACCAACTCTGCAGCCTTGAATGCATGTTCCTGAATGATTGAGCAGTGTGTTATTGACTTTATTCATCTTGACCTTGGTCTCTGTTGACCAAGAAGGAGGATCAATTCAGCTGCTCTTTGTCTTCCTAAAACTCCTGGTTATTGTTTCTCATTCTCATCTTTCTGTTGTTCTCTTCAGGGTGATGATGATCTTAAAGATACTGGTTTCCATTTGACCACTGCTAACCAGGGCGCCTCCAAAGCCGGTCCAGGATTCAGCTTGAAGTTCTGAGCTCCAGCGGCCACCAGGCTTTCTTTGCGTATGTGTGACACGATGCTGAGACTCATTTAGAGAACGAGCATCAGAGAGCAGTTCGCTGAACCTCACTGGGACACACAGACTCTGGGGAACAGTTTTTATTTTACGAGCACAGAGGACCTCCATGAAGTTCAAGTGCTTTAAATTCCTCACGTTCATCTGAAATATAATGCGTTGGTTTGTTTTGCTTGGTTTCCTTGTTCTTTTGTCCAATCTAAAAACAAGCAGCAGATCAGCATTTTCAGACCTCTTTTATTTTTTCCTCTTCATTTGCAGTTGTAGTTGGGAGTAAGATGTTGAAAACCAATTTTAGTGACATCAAATGAATATTAAAATAAATCCATTTTAAAAACGTTGATACCATGGTATGTCTGAATACTAGATTCTGGTTGGCTGGAAGTTGTGCATTAAAGTCAGTGAATGCACAAACTGTTTGTAGTGATTTTACTTTTGCCCACCCAGGGAGGGGAGATAATGTAGTGATGGGTACTAACGTCACCGATGCCACTTTAGGTATGGTTATAAGTAGGGCTGCACGATAAATCGAAATTAAATCGCGATTAGGCAAAAGCTGTGATTGCCATGCGCATCTTGTCAGTGAAGCACGGTTCTGTGATCAGTAGTAAATCTCCATCCGAAGGCCACAGAAACTCAAAATACGCCCCACAGAAGAAACCCAGGAAATCACTATAGTGGTAGCTGAATAAACACAAGATTTAACTGCTTCCATTGATTCAGCGTGACTAATAAACACACGACTACGACAATATATGGTTTATCTTGGTTCTTATTATTATAATTTTCATTATAATAAAGTATATAATAATGCAATGCTAATCGACATAGCCTTTATCACTGCTTAGAATAATATGAAATATGTTGCATGCCTTATTCTGTGTAAGAAGCCATATAATCTCACAGAAGGATTTATTTCAAACACTCGACTGATGTTATGAAGTGAGTTTGGAGTAAAAATATGTTATTAAATGTGGTATTTTCACATGCTTTCAGATGGAGCAGCATTTACTACACAGAGCCGTAGTTCACTGAGAAGCTACGCAAACAGCTGACATTATCGCAAACGATATCTTCACCCGATTATATCATCCGTGTTTTTTTTTTGGGGGGGGGGGGTTGTGTAGCTTTTCAATGAACTACGGTTCTGTGTAGTAAATGCACGTGATGGAGATTTGCTACTGATCACAGAACCGGCTTTACCGACAAGATGCTCATGACAATCGCATTCGATTAATCATGCAGCCCTATACATCAGATGAGCACTTCCCCCTCTCTTAGTTTGGAGCACCAGGACTTTTACCTTGTTGATATGAGAACACTCCCAACAATCATTTAGAAACTAAAGGGAATTAGTCAACTGATTAATCTGAAAGATTAGTGGGATATCTAACTTGTAGAGCCTCTTACTGTATTATCAACACAAGGAAGATAGGTGTAATAAAATTTCATCAACAAAATATAAACAAGAGTAATCAACAACCACTAAATGAATACCATGAGTGAAAAAGGAATAAGATGCATAAAATGCAAGTGATGAAGTTTGCTATGGCAGAGTTATGTTACCTTGTGGACAGATAAACTGTTGCTTCTCTGAAACTTCACGTGTAGGATGCTGATCTTCTGGAGCACCAAAGGGTCCTAACATCTGGAACACACAGATGTGGCCCTGGAGTAGGTGCAGAAGGTCCTTGATCTGGAATAAACAGATGAAAATATCTTGAAGTGAAGGTTTGCCCGCCAGAGCTTAATTTTGTCACGAATGTCTGTATATCTGTGGTTGTCTCGCTGGATGAAGACTTTGAGCGTATAGGGTATCTGTAATTGCCTCTTTCCTCATGGGCCGCAGGCTCAGAAATTGGTCATATCTGTTGCTGCTTCCAAAAGAGGCTCAGAGCTTTATCTGTTGACATCTCTCCCTCACTGGCCAGAGACTCAGAACTGGGTGTTACTGTTAGTGTCTCACCTTCACAGGGGCAGTCGTGGCCTAATAGTTAGATGTTCGGACTTGTAACCCGAAGGTTGTGGGTTTGAGTCTCAGGTCCGGCAGGGGTTGTAGGCGGAGGGAGTGAATGGCCAGTGCTCTTTATCGTTCTGCCTGGAAAAAAAAATGCTGTGATGCCAAACCCCATCATGGAAGAAGAAAAGAAAGCTGTCCTCTGGTGGCCTTGGCCATTCAAAGCGGACTTTCAAAGACTAGTGTTGTGTAGCCAGACATTCAGACTGACGTCATGCTGTAGAGTTATAGTGGAAGGGAAGACGAGAAGCTCAGTCTTTGCCAGGTTGAGTTGTAGGTGATGTTCTTTCATCCATGCTGAGATGTCCGCCAGGCAGCCTGAGATCCGTGCAGCTACCGTTGGATAATCTGGTTGAAATGAGAGATAGAGCTGTGTGTCATCAGCATAGCAATGGTAGGAGAAGCCATGTGCCTGTATGATGAGTCCCAGTGATGTAGTGTATATGGAGAAGTGGAAGGGTCCAATAACTGATCCCTGAGGAACCCCCGTGACCAGATGATATTCTTTGGATACCTCCCCTCTCCAGGACACCCTGAAAGACCTACCTGTGAGATAGGATTCAAACGAGGGAAGTGGAGTACCTGTGATTCCCAATGATGAGAGGGTGGACAGAAGGATCTGATGGTTGATGGTGTTGAAACCTGCAGACAGATCTAATTAATGATTTGGAATCAGCTTTCGCAATCAGCAGGGCTTCAGTGACTGACGGTAATGCAGTCTCAGTTGAGTGGAAACTTTTTTTTAAAAATTTTGACTGGTTAATGTCCAGCTAGTCATTCTGAGAAAAGATAGATGATACCTGGTTGAAAGCAACTCACTCAAGGGTTTTTGCTACGAATGGGAAAAGAGACAGGTCTGTAACTTTCTACTTCTGAGGTGTATAGTGTGGGGTTTTTGAGCAGTGGGGTTAACTCAGGTTGCTTGAAAGCGTTGGGGAAAGTGCCTGTGAGGAGAGATGTGTTGATGATGTGTGTGAGTGCAGGTAAAAGTGAAGGAGAGATTGCTTGGAGAAGGTGTGGTCTAGAGGAAGGATGGGTTGAAATGAAAATGGTGGTAGAATGAAGTTGGGACACAGGAGAAGTTTAGATACTTCTGCTTCTTTAAGGACCGAGAAGAAGGAGAGATGGTTAGCTGTGGATGTGGTTGGTCTGAGTTCTTGACTGTGTGACGCTAAAAATTTGACCTTTTGATTTATACCATTTTCTCTCTGCAACCTTGAGTTTGAATTGACGTTCAAGGAGAACATCAGATAACCAGAGGTTGGAGCGACTAGTACGCGCTGGCCTGGAGAAGAGAGGCAGATATTGTCTAGACAGGATGTTAAAGTGGAGCATAAAGTGTCTGTGGCAGTATTCACATCTATTGATGAGAACTGGGTGGGAGAGGGAACAAGGATGACACAACAGATGAGAGGTGGGAGGGAGAAAGGGAACAGGTTTCGTCACAAGGAAGGTAGGTGTAAATTAAAAGTAATAAAGAAATTATCAGACTTTGAAAGATTGTGAATGTAGCATTTGAGTCTCACCTTTTGTTTTGTTTGGGTTTGAAACTTGGAGCTTGACAGACCCAGTCTCCCTTCACTTCACATTCAAAAATTCTCCTTTTGTGTTCTGCATTGTGTGTCCTATGGGTTTGGAACAATATAGCAGAAGTCTTTTGTGTGAGAAAATCTCCTGAATATTCTTCAGTAGAGAAAATCTCCAAGTCATTTTTCTAAAGTTAAAACCCCACTTCACATTATATAAGGTCTCTAATCATTTGTTTCCAGCTGTAAAAGGGGAATTCAGGAGTGAGCCGTCTACCCTCATGACCATTTGTTTTCCACTAGCCTTTCCACTCTTTAAATTGCTGCCATGTCTACAAGATTCCAAATAAGTGTTCTGGGGTATATAATGTGAGCCAGTGTGCTGATGGGTGGCATCTTACACAAGGTGAAAATTAATATCAGCATAAGTTCAAATGGATAAGAAACGGGCTGTGTGCCCCTTTCGTTTAGAAATGAATTGAAATCACCATCTAGAATACGCTTTGGATCACTACCAGTATTTTTTTTACAGCTGATTATTTTGTCTATGAAAAGAAAATGCTAGTGGAATACAGTGAGAGTCCTGTTGGTCAGCAGACACTTGGATATGCTACAACATACAGTGGAGTCCAAAAGTGAGGAAACATTGGACATTAAAGCGGTCATATGATGCTATTTTAAAGATCATTATTTTGTGTATTTGGTGTAACAGAATATGTTGACATGCTTTAATGTTCAAAAAACACATTATTTTTTAAATACTGTACATTATTGTAGGTCCTCTATGCCCCGCCTCTCTCAAACACGTCATTTTCAACAAAGCCCCCTCCTTTGACAAGCGCAGTCTGCTCTGATTGGTCAGCTGACCCAGTGCATTGTGATTGGCCGAACACAGCAAGCACGCGTCGGAAATGTAATGCCCCTTACCATAATCGCAGCTTCAGCTTTCAAAGTAAATATCACGACAGTTAATAATGTCGTTAGTTTTACCATCAGTTCAAGCCCGAAAGGGCAACAGAGTCGCGTGACAGACACAGTGATAATGTTGTACATAAGCCGCGGTTAAGACAGCTGAGGTGCTATGATTTCTGACTGACAGTTCACTCTTCTGTGATGTGACCCTGTTCCCCTCACACACACACACAATGCATTACTCTGCGCTGCGCAAAACTCAGCATTTGAACAGTCAATAGCAAATACTTAAACTAATAACAAAACAGTAGCTGATTCAGAAGCGCCAGATTGTCATAGCAAAGT